CCTCCGGCTCCTCTTTTTCCTTTATTATCCTCGTTGCAACGGGGAGATGCGCCCTCCTTCGCCGCCACCCCCGGAATCTCGCCGCGATGCGATCGGGCGAGGGGGTGTTCCCGTGTTTGGGTTTTTTGGGGGGCTGGTGTTGGTACGTGGAAAGCGAATTTTCACGGTGTTTTTGCCATTCTGTCATATAATAGGCTAGTGCTAAATGCATTCCCCGGGGGGAAGGGGGGCGTGCGGTTAGCTGGAAGAGTTCTTATAATAGGTGCTCTGTGCATAAAGAGAGGGAGGAGACTTGAACATCAATTCGGAGAGCGTTTCAGCATGAAAAAAGGCTTGAGAAGGAGATGGGAAACTCGGTAAAAAGGCTTGGGTGATGGATCTGCGCAAGAGAGCATAGGAAGTCCGTGCCCTTGTGAAACTGCTGAATTCCTGCATGGCAAAGCATGCCATTACAAAGGTTGGAGCAGGGATGGGAGCGAATGTGTCGGTGGAGTTGTGAGCAAGCAGAGGAGAGTTTACATTAATCGGCTTGGGAAATCAGTAAGTGATGGACTTGCGCTTACTGCATTTATATTCCTTTTTCAGCGAGGCTGAGCTCTGTGGGAGCACAAACACAAGGGAAAGATGCCTGTGGTGTGGCCAACTCTTCTGGATCTCAGCAGAGATGAATGCAAGAGGATCCTTCGCAAACTGGGTACAGTAAGATACAATTTGTGGGTCTGTATGTTTGCCCTTTTAAGATTTGCCTGCCTGCTGCTTCCATGAAACACTTTAATATGTCTACAGGCAACTCACAAGTCATTTCCTGCGTTTTGCATGTGTCATTGGTTTGACAGCCCTGGCTTAAAATGATGTTTGGCAGATGCTCTCTGCCTGAGCGAAATGAGTGGAACGGAATTGTTTTGGTTTGGTAGAACCATGGATGTCCTGGGCCATCTCTGCCTCGATGTTGCAGTGTTGCATTGCTGTTCTTTTTACAACTATTAATGTGCAATGGGATAACTCTCTGAGAGGAGGGTCTTTGTCTGTCTTTCAATTCCGTTTTGGACACCTTTCTGTACCAAAAAACTCATGGAACCCTGGTGTAATTGACATGGTGGGACTGAGTTCAAGTAGTAAAGGTACTATTGTAAAGACTTGAAACAGGAGAAAAAAAAAAATTGTGATGGTTTGTGATTTGCGGTTACACAAATTATCAGGGAAGTGTGAAAACAGTGTTCTCTTTTAACTGTCGTAACAACATAATTCAAATATATTTCAATACCCAGACCCCTGCCCAATAGATATATATTGGGAGATCTTTTTTTTTTTGTGCTCTGTCCTTGTGAACACATGTGTAGAAGGAGATACGCTTTTGTATTTTGGAAGGTAAGAAAAATATTTGCTCTTTCCTTGCATCCACTTTTGGCTACCACAGGAGAGAGAATCCTTTGTTAGACTGTTGATCTGATCTTGCACAGTCGTTTTTGTGTTCTTAGAGCTGAATTTCTTTTTATTTAGTTAAGGATATTTTTTCCAGTTGAAGAAAGCGGAGACTGCCTCCAACTTCCTGTGACAGTCAAATCACAGCTTCTCTTGTTCTTATTTTACTTGAATGTTAAGAGATGATGTGCTGTACTTCTTCACTCTGCCAAGGTTCTCATCGTTATGAAGCCATCCACTTTATTTTCTGAGAGCTGAGAGTTTATTTTCCCTCGCTTTGCCCTTTTTATTTCATTTCTTGGGAATCTGGGATTTGTGTTCTGTTGAAACAGACACTGATGCAGATGTTGCACACGACATTGCAACTAAGCTGTACATCCCTTAAGGTGACAGCCCTGGGTCTTAAGCGAGGCTCATGAAGTACGAAAACTAGGAGAAAAGTGCAGGATGCTGAAAGATTTGGACCGGATCTGTGCTGCTAAATTTTGTTAACGTAGCTGTGCTGGCTAGGAGTGTGGAAAAGAAAAAAAAAAAAAACAACTTCCCAGCCCAGCTGACGGCGGTGTGCTGGCAGAACCCTGCTGGTGCAGCTGAGCCAAACAGAACTGCAGCTACACCTCCTTCAATGACATAACCTAGGCTGACAGGAAAAAAAAAAAAAAAAAATTCTTTTTTTTTATTGCTGGCATGAGCTGTGTCCCCACAAGGGGGCCCTGCCAGCGTAGCAGAGGATCAGAGCCCGTAGCAGCCGTGTCTCTTCCAGGGTAGAGAAGCTCTCAGTTTAAATAGACTCACCACAAGACTGGAGGGGGAAGGAGCACGGGCAGTGGGAGCGAATAGCTGTCTAACAGTCGTATCCAGCAATATTCATCTGCCTTATTGAGTCCCACTTTTCCACCTCTCAGCCCAACATCTTATTTGGTTGACCGTTCAGCAGTCAGTGGGGTAGTCCATAATGAGTGAAATGCAATGGTGCAGGTGAGGCTGAAATGCATCCTGAGGTGTGCGATACCTAGCGTTGTTCTGCGGCGTTCATGGTTTATAACTGAATAAGGGGACGATGGTAGCACCTTGCACTTGAAATGATGGTATTTATTTGTGAAACCTGTTTTGGCCGCTTGATGTGTTTCCTGTTGGAAAGAGAGCGCACCCGTTAGTGATTGCTGCATAGATGTAAGGGTGAGAAAGCTAGTTATAGCTGTTCTGTAATCTTTACTAGCTTCTAAAAAGCCAGAATGTGCATTTATAAAGCTCTAGTGTAGAAGATCTCGATTAAAAATGCAGAAAGAAAAAAAAAAAATCTATCCTTGCTAAATAATTATACGGTTGTATCTGAGAATTACTTTATGTTGTTAACAGAGGAAAATAATTAGTATCTTAAATATTGTAACATGGTTGTCTAAATAAATGTTGATATTAGTAATAACCATTGCATTAATTAGCAAATGTTTTATAACTGAAGCTGTAAATGCTTCTGTAGGTCACTCGGCATCCCTATGCAGGCTGCTTGGTTAACCAAAGCAACTCTGCTTTGTGTTTTGTCTGCTTAATCAGGACAGGAGAGCAGGACTTCTTTTCAGCACAATTCCTTGATTTGATTTGTAAATTAGCTCTTTGGAATCCTAATCTGAAAGCTTTTCAGAAAAGCATCAGTCTTTCTTTTGCAACAAACTTCAGAGGTGTTAGGTTTTGGCCTGCCCCTTTTTATTCTTGCTTTCGGTTAACTGGGATCTGTTGTGGGGGTCTGGTTTGGTTGGCTGCAGAAAGGCACCTATGTAAATATTGAAAGAATTTGTATTTCTGGTTTAAAGCGGGGAATTTCAGTAAGGTTTCCTTAAACTGTGCTAAGCTTAGACTAGCAAGTTGTTCTTTGGCAAATTAACAGACTCCATTATTTGCATTAGGTGTCTTTTCACCCTGCTTAGTAGGACAAAATTCAGAAGTTTCAGTAGCCTTTAACTATTCCATTTTTTAAAACACCGATGGCATGACATTTCCATAGGTCCCCTGGAATTACAGATTTACATTAAATGAGAGTTGTATTTGTGAGAGTCAATCTTTGTGATGGCTCTACATTTAAGAATAGCTGGATTGTTTCTTTTGTGTTGAGCAGGTTCAATTCAGTGTGTTGCATTCTTTTCAGAATCAAGCAGTTGTACATATCAAGTTAACGGGCATAAAAGATTATGATGATTGTATTTAACACACTAGAGCTGATGTTCTCTGTGCTAATTAAGGAAAAGCATTAGGAAAAAATCAGTTGCTCTTTTGATAGTGTATTTTTTTTTTTCAAGTCAAGCTTTTCCATGGAACTTTTAATAATGATATGTTTTAAAGATTTTTCTTCTGCTGTTTCTAGAGAATTCTGAGATACTCTCCAAATTTGGGGACTGTTTCTTCAAGCTTTCTGGCTGAACTGTCAGCTCAGAGTGAGCTTGAAATATTCGGTTGGGTTTATAGACTAGATAATCCTCTGTGATGATACAATTGTTTCACAGAAAAGCTGTATGCTGCAGAGTAATTGACTGAGAGAGTTCTAAATCATCAATCTCTTTTGAAAAGCACTAAATAATTGAAAGGCATGTTCCTTTTAATGATTTTGAAAATTAATAGAATACTGTCGGTAATACTGAAAATAATGTTTTTTTTTTCCTTTGCTGTGAGCATTAAATAGAAATACTATTTGCTCTAATTCTTCAGAACTGGAGGCATATGCAGGTGTCATCAGTGCCTTACGTGCACAGGGAGACCTTACGAAAGAGAAGAAGGATCTTCTTGGAGAACTCTCTAAAGTGCTTAGGTAACCCTAACCTTTTTTAAAATAACAACCGATGACCTGTTTTCTTCTAAGGTATTGCATGCTTTTTCTATCACTAGTATCACAAAGCAAATCTTAATCTAGAGAAGTAATTCTCCATCTTGTGGAGGTTCGATTCCTATTCTGCTTTGAGTTTGTAGTAAGGAAAACAACTGCTTTTGTGGTTGGAGCTTTACTGTTTTGTTGGTGTTTTGGGAGGTACTGAGTGTTAGAATCGTTACAGCTAACTCATGAGTGTGTGCTAGCTTGGACTTCTGTCAAGGTAGGACTTTAAGGTCTTTGGGCCCACGTGACATCAAGAAAGAATGCTGCGTGTTCTGTGCAAATTTTTCTACTGTGTCCTTTAAATTTATTGCTCTCATTAGGAGGTTGGATTCTAGCTGTTTTGCAGGGGTACCCTATGAACAGTAATGTTCTTTTTATTCTTCAGTAATATTTTTGAACAATAATACATTCAATTCTTTCTCACTGTGATAGAGAAAGTTAAGTGACAATCTCTTAAATGTAAATGCCTGTTCCCTTTCATCTCTTGAGTGGATTATTCATAAGTTTCATTTTAGCTAGAAGTTTTAGATAAATGTCCGTGCCTCCATCTGACTAAAATATATTGCTGTTTTTTTTAATAGTATTTCAACAGAGCGACATCGTGCTGAAGTTCGGAGAGCAGTAAATGATGAACGACTAACGACTATTGCACACAAGTAAGTTATAGGGTAATTTTCTACGTGATTTCCAAAGGTACCCTTTGTAAAATCCATTATGCCTTAACTGAATGATAGAACTTTGAAGATGGATGGTGTTTTAAAGAACAGTAGTTAAAACAGCATATGGATGAAGGAATTACTGTATCAGATTTACATCAGGGAACTAGAAACAGTTATTTAGTACCGTTGCATTTTGGATCTGAAGGCATCCTGTTCACTGTACAAGTACAATATAAGAAACAGTCTTTTGTCATGAAGAGCCTTCTGTAAGATAGACCAGAAGAAACAGAGAGTAGAGAAAATAGAGAAATCCATAAGCAGGATGAACATTTGCTTTATTATTTTTTGTTTTACCTTTTATTTAAATAAGTTTGGAAAGGTTGTATTAAGAGGGACTTAACTACGTAGAAAGACAAAGGGAGGGAAAGA